TTAGGGGGGGTGATGACACCCCCGCCCCTGGGGAAATTACCCCCTGAATGGTCGGGGGAGGGACCCCTTTCAAACTTAGGGGCCTGATGGCTGGCCGGCGGGCGCCGAGAGTCGCCCGGCAGAGGGCGTGGCCGAGCGCCCCCACCCGTGGGGGTCGAGGGCCTGGCAGAGCCCCGAGAGGAGACGCCGTTCGCACTCAGGCACAAAACGGCATGATGATTGCCCTGGCAATGCAGACAGGGCCGCCGATGCGGACAGTCTCGCTGGAGGTGTCCTCCCAAACATGAGCAGCACCAGCGGCGCTCCTTGGCGATAGTTCGCCTCGCTGGAACCGGCTTACCTAATAATTTCGGGCACGACGTTACCCGATGATCAGATGCTCGACAATAGGAGCAGGGGGGGTTGACGACGACTTGCCTGGAGGATTCAGCCTCTCACTGGGCACGGCTCGTAAGTCGTCAACGGTGCCCGCCGCGCTCTCTATCTGCCGGCACTGCTCCTCCAAAAACCTCAGCAGGTTATAGAAGGGCGGAATATAAGAGGCCTCGTCCCCGCCGTACCTCTCCTCAAAATGGATTCAAAGGTCGAGAGGTAGACGGGACAGCACGATGCGGAGCAACAAAAAAGCCCATTCGCCCACTGGTAAACCCAGCCGCCTCAACATATTACAGGCCACCAAGACTGGATCCAACAGGTTCGGACGCAGTCTGGCCTAGCCACTAAGCAGCGGGAGGCTTAGAAGCTGCTTAACATGTTCTTCCGCAATTCGCCGGACGTTGGCGTATCTTCTGGCTAGGAGGTCCCGAGCAGTCTGGTAGGCGTCGTGCGATAATCTCAAGTGGCCGACGACGCCCAGGGCCTCCCCCTCCAGTGAGGCCAGGAGGTACACCATCTTTTGGCTCGGAGTCAAGTCACTCCGGGCGTCCACTAGGCTGTCGAAAAGACCAACGAAGGTCAGCCATTCGGAAAGGACCCCGGAGAACTTTGGCAGGTCCAGAGTTGGGAGTCGTCCCAACAGCTCCGGCTGAAGCTGCTTCAGAGAGGACTCGGACAGGTCACTCATCCGAGCTTCACGCGCCTCCTCGGCATACCTGCCTTCAGCCTCGATCAACTCGTCCGTGAGCCACAAGAACTGCTCATAGTCCGTGAAGCAGGAGTCCAGGACTCCCTTCTCCACATCCGAATCCTCGAGCTCAGCGTAAGCCTCCTCCACTGCGGCCCTTCGAGCATCCACCTGCTCGAACTGCTTCATCAAGTTATGGACCCTATCCGGTCGACCTATCAAAGCATGGGCGCTTGTGGCCCAGCGTAGCTCAGTCCGCAAACAACGGATCAGTAGCTTGGGCGATGTCATCACTATTAAATGCAAATTACGACGCGGCTTGAGCACGGATTACAAAGATAACAAACAAAAAATACAACAAAAATTAACAGTTAATAAATGCAGTTCCTATCAAATCGCGTTGAATAGAAATTACACAAATACGAATTACTACGTATCAACCAAATACAAGTTAGCTCAAAAGAAAAGACACAAATTAAATTAACAAATAACAAATACTAGTGCGATCAAATCAAGTTAAATTCAAATTGCGCAAATACAATTACTACTCTTTAGTTCAAATACAAATTACAGTATAAACGAAGATACACATCACAGTCGATCAACAAAAAATGCCTAGCTCGGAAATCGACCCTTCGATAAGTAATCCACTACAACTATCCGACAACGATAATTAACCGATTACGTAAAAATAACCATCTACCTACATGACGTATATCTCTAGAAAAACTCCCGCTTGCGCAACCTAGGGCTTGGCTTTTCAAACTACCTACTAACCAAAAAAAAAGGCAAGCAACAAACAACAAAGAGAAATAATTCTATTATTACGTACAAAAAAATATTTTACGTATTACGGACGGGCGTGATTGTAGATACAAATTAAACCAATCAAACCAACGCTCCCTGCCAACAGATTTGTTTAATTTTTATCAAACACTATGGTCGGGATCGACTGGGGAATCGAACCCGGAACCACGCTCTGCTACCAGTTTGTTACGGCCTACGGTTGCTCCCTTAAAGGATCCAATCCTCTGGGGCCCATGAGCAGAATACTTCCCGAGCAAACGTAGGTCGGGCCTCAATGTGGCCACGTGGAAATTCCTAATTACAATAAATCAGATGGGAGGACGTTAGAAGGACATAGTACTTACCATTATCCGAAGCTAACTTCGCACCAAGGCTTGGGCAGGCCGTGAGTGTGTGTAATAGTGGATGGAGAGTAGTGTACAGTGAGGGGTGAATTTGTGGGGCCTTGTCAAGCATAGGCGACCAGCTGCTGCCGAGTTCCAGGCTGCTCCAAAATGCTGCCACACTGCTTCAGACTGCTACGGCGCCGGACCACAGTCACTTTCTTCTTTCGTCACGATGACAGTCACTTAACTCTATCGTACGATTAACTAGCTTACAGAAGCCACTAACTATCGCGGGGTATAAGGGTACCGCACAAAACACGCACGGAGTTTCTGGATCAAAGGTCACTACCATTTCGCGTTGCAACAGTTAGTTCTAGAATACAGAGGCCGCACTAGCTAATATTGTCGAATGCACTTTTACAGATTCTGAGTCGGACCCAATAAGTCCCGGGGAAGCTCTCCAGTAGGGATACGCGCCACAAAATTCCTAGACCGTATTTTACTGTCCGCGCTTAATTATTCCGAGTTCCCGCGCTTAATTGGCAGCGTGCCAATCGTGAGCACTGCCTAAGGACGACTGACTGCCCTTGAGCGTTTTTCACACGACCGAAAGTCAAACCGGTATCGCGCCGAGCCGAGTGACATCTGGCGTCAATTCTTGACAGCGTTGAGCGCAAACATTACTTATTGCGAAAATTTTCGAATGATAGCCTCGGATCCAATCACATCAAATCAAATACACCTAAATTGTAATCCTAAATTAAAATTACCATATATAGTAATACCCGAAATTAATGCTAAGTTTATAATCGATACCGGAAGTTCTAGATCTTTCATAAGCCCTTCTAAAACAAACGAATATTATGCGAACTTTAAACGTTATGAACTATTTGAAGTTATCAGTACACACAGTTTACATGATGAAGTAATAATTAGACCCCTATTTCCAACTTTCAATAGTGATCAGGTACATAAGTTTTATGTATATGATGTCGACGCCCGCTATGACAGACTTATTGGAAGTGATCTTCTTAAATAATTAGATTCCACAATCAAATATTACAGACAAATTACACAAATATACCTATAATTTTCAATCCAACCAACGAAATTAAAATAGTCCCGCGTTACGAACACAGAATTAGAATTAATGCTTTAAATAAAAAGAACTTTCATCCACTTATGCAAATGTAGATAAACACGAAGATAAAAATAAAGAAATTCAGGACTTAATAAAAGACATTAAAGAATTAGACGAATTGCAAAAGGTAACACTTAGACCACCACCTCCGGAATCTATGTCTATTTCAGACACAGACTCTGAGAAGGCTATTATTATAGAGGATACCGACTCATATAAAACCCTATCAATTAAATCTGATTATTTCATACCGTACGCTTCTAGTAGCACAGTTACCGCCTCTGAAAAACCCTCTAGTATAGAAACCACACATTTAGGACAAGACACTGAATCACAGGGAATTCCAATCTTACAGGAAGCGATCGACACCAAGCCCAATCAAATTTTAGTGTTCAGCTGGAACATAGACAAATTATCTGTAAAAAACTTGTCTAGGGAAAAACAAAGAATCTTAGAAGTACACTTACCTTTAAACCGACAAGATTTAGTAAAGCGATTTCTGCAAGAATACTCTAGGAATAAAATTAAATACTTCATTTACTTCGAAAATGAAGAACATCGTAAACAATTCTCAGAATTAGTAGTTTTCTTATTTAAAAGGGAACTTGTACAATTTTTCGCTTGCACTAAAAGAGTCGTATACGTAGATAATGAAAAATACAAAGAGACATAGTTCAGAAATATCACGTCGGAAAAACTTGCCATCGTGGTATCAAAGAAACCCTAGCCCATATCAAACGGTCATACTTTTGGCATAATATGGCCCAAATCATAGCCAGTGTAATAAATGCATGTGACGCATGTAAAAGTATGAAATATGATCGCAACCCCATGAAACCTAAACTCCAACTGACGCAAACCCAAAATAAACCTCTTGAAGAAATTTTCATAGATCGCTTTAAAATCGAAGGTCACTATTACTTAACAATAATCGATGCCTTTATCAAATTAGGACAGGCCTTTGAAATAGTTAATAGGTCGACGCCCGAAGTCGTCAGAGCTCTTCTTAAATATTTTTCTTTTTACGGTGTCCCCCACAAAATAAGTTCAGATCCTGGATCTGAGTTTAACAATGCGTTACTTAAAGAACTACTTTCCTTTTATAAAATAGAACTTCATATTGGTACCCCTAATAATCCTAACTCTATGGGGTTGGTTGAAAGATTTCACTCAACCATCTTGAAATATATAGATTATCAAAGCATGAATACAAATATACATACGCCCCTTCCATAATGACAAGCAATAATGGCATACAATCATAGCATACACTCTGCCACAGGCTTAACACCTTTTGAAGTTTTATTAGGACATACAGACTCACGACATGCATTTGACGTAGATTTTGAAAAACAGTATTTACAACAGTTAGTTAAAGAACACGCAAAGCATACTAAATATCTCTATAAACATCTCACAGAACAAGCCATACAAAAGAAAGAAAATATTATTAAAAAGAGAGGTGGAGAAACGGAATTTAAGATAGAACCAGGAGACACTATTTATGCAAAAGGTAATAATAAAAGGTGTAGTAAAGATAAGTCACGTTTTCAAAAGGCCCTAGTAACCGACACCATTAGTAGAAATATTATTCCCATAAACATTAAAAGATGTGATAGTAAAGTTCCTCTAAAGAATGTAAAACGCCCTTCACAAGCACCTCCTGCTCGTCCTGGTAGCCATGATGACGCGCCTCCAGGCCCTTCAACTTCAGGAATTAAATAGCAATCCTGGAATACTGCCCGTGAAACAAGGAACTGCCGTCATCAGTAATGATAAATGGATCATTGCCAAAATAATATACCTCAAATTATTCATAGAGGATGTAAAAGTCAATGTACTAAGAATTTCCGAATTAAATAAGATAGTTAATAATTTAAATAAGAATTTTTCATATAACTTTGTAGATGTTAATTCACAAGTAGAATATATTAAGAATTTAACTATTAATAAGCTTGAACAAATAATCCCTTCTTTTAGAACAAGACGCGGTATACTTAACCCACTAGTTTCATTAATTAAGATAGTCACTGGAAATCACGATAATGATGATGCCGTTAGATACGATAAATTAATTACAGAAGTAAAAGTCAAACAAAATAGTAATGACAACAGAATGACTTTGATCACAGAAATAATACAATCTCTGACAAATTCTACATTAAAATTGAATGAAAATCCAATAAAAATTAATAGAGATATTATAACATTATCACATAACTTAAGTAGTATAGACGAAAGAGAACACTCTAATCATAATGAGACACGGATTATAAGTACATACAACCTATTAATTCATAACTTTCAGGCTATCCTTATAAAACTGAACGAGATGGAAACTACTTTAGCTTTGAGTAGATTAGGAATCTTACATCAGTTTGTAATAGAGTCTAAAAGATTGTTGTATTTACTTGAAAAAATTGGCAGATTAGTGAATCTATTATACACTCCTACATTAGAAAATTAAGTTAAAATAGAGCGAACTATAATGGTAAAAGCTTATTTAAAAGTAAATAGCATTACTTATCTTTTGGAATACCTCTCATCACTAAGGACAATTATGTTTATTATAAGCTATCCCTTACCCGTACTATCCCACAACCGTACCACTGTCATTTTACCAAAATTCCCGTACCTTTTAGTGAAAGGGTCGAAGATTAGACTACTTACTCATCCCTGTCAGAATCCGATGAATACAGTTACCTCTGCCCTGAGGATGACACATCCCAACTAATTAAGGACGATTGCATCACAGAACTGATGACTTATGTTGAAAATATATCCTCATGCATCCAAGTTCCAGTAATTTTGGAAGCTATAAGGGTGCAGGTTATACAACCTAACAGATGGATTATCTACACCAAGGAGTCTACTTTACTCTCCGACATTTGTAATAATGAAATAACAAGGCGGAAAATTCATGGCACATTTATCTTAACATTGGACGATAACTGTGCAGCCAAAATCAATGATATAAACCTAACAAGTAACCCCGTGGAAATTGAAAGCATCTCACCCACTATGTTACCTATGATTAACCAACCTGCAATAAACTCATCCCTCGAGATGTCATCCCCGGTGCAGCTGAACCTAGAGGGTATAGATCTTACGGACCTCAAATTTCTGTCAGTTGCATTAAGAAAAAGTGAAATTAAAAACAGTGAAAGTGAAAAGGCAATTGTGGTGATTAAAAGAGTAAGCCCATGGACCATTTTATTGTATGGACTGTTATTCATAATTGTAACCTGAGTCTTAGTTCATAAGGATCTTTTAAACTTGTTTAATTTTTGTATACGAAGTTCTCCTGTAAACGAGAACTTCAAACTTGAGGAGGAAGGTGTTACGGGTGGCAAGACCTACCAAGATGTCCGCATCAGCACAATATTCTGATTGTAGACCACAGGCATGTACTGAGTGGACAAACGGAAACTGCCGAGCTCCTGTGTAGGCTCTCATACATGAGTTTTTAAGCATAGAATATTAAGTTAGTCTTAAGCGAGTTCTTGTAGCGATTAAACATCTTTTAATTTATAAAATTTGAATTTTTAAAACGTTCTCTGGCCCCTGCATAACTTGACTACGTACTCCAGGTTCCTACAAAACACAATCATTCCTCGCTCCCGATTTCTGGCCCTCTGGGGTCATGTCGAAGAAGAAAGTTCTCTAAATAGTGTTATATTTTATATAAATATTTAAGGTGGTTTATATTGCTATGGGCCAATGTTCTTAATTTTTAAGTCCTAGATGCCTGAAATAAAGTAATAGTACGAGTATTTGTATTTGTAGACTACACCGTTCCATACCATTACTCTCTTTCTTTTTTTAAAGACCAAGAAGGATCTGGTTACTGACTGAAGTCGAAAAATGGGTCTTATTACGGTGAAATACCCTGAAGTGATGGCGTAAGTGTATTAACTAACCCAATTCGTCCTGTGGTCGTAGCTAGATGCGACAAAATACTGAAACAGGTGTTAGGCTGCAGCATCTTTCTGATAACAAATTATTAAAAATAATAATAAAAAAGAGGCCTATGTTTAGCCGTGTACTTTTGATAGGATGAAAAGATAAAAAAAAATTAACGGTGGTAGAACCACGCGGCAGTGTTGCTGTCTCCCTGGACATCCACAATTCAAGTGGGCCTGACGGAATCCCCCACATTGTGCTGAGGAAGTGTACTCCGGAGTTGCCACCGGTCCTAACGCGTCTTTTCCAGTACTGCTACTCCCAAGGCGTAGTCCCAAATTCATGGAAGATAGCTTTTGTCCACCCGAGCCCTAAAACAGTTGACTGCTCAGACCCGTCCAACTACAGGCCTATCGCCATCACCTCCTTGTTCTCCAAAATAATGGAATCCATTATTAACTGCCAGCTAATGCGGTACCTTGAAGATCACCAGCTGATTAGTGACCGCCAATACGGTTTTTGTCGGGGTGGATCAGCTGGTGATCTTCTGGTCTACCTGACCCATAGATGGGCGGAGGCAGTAGAGTCCAAGGGGGAGGCGTTAGTTTGGACATTGCGAAGGCCTTCGATCGGGTCTGGCACAAAGGGCTTCTTTCGAAGCTCCCTTCCTATGGGCTTCCCGAGAAATTGTGCAATTGGATCACCAGCTTCCTTGCAGATCGGAGCATTAAGGTCGTTGTAGACGGTGCATGCTCCGAATACAAGCCTATTAACGCTGGTGTTCCACTAGGCTGTGTGCTATCACCAACGCTGTTTCTTCTGCATATCAATGATATGTTGCTAACTGGTAACATTCATTACTATCCGGATGACAGCACTGAAGATGCTTTATAAATCGGCCGTGCCAATATTTCTCGGAAAAACGTCGCTGAGTACCGGAACAAACTTGTGTCTGAAGTCGAGTCTTTGCTGAACAAAGTCTCGGATTGGGGGCGACTAAATTTAGTCCAGATTAATCCTCAGAAGACACAAGTTTGCGCGTTTACCTCTTAAAAGAACCCTTTTGTCGTATCTTCTCAGTTTCAAGGCACTCCCCATCTTCCCTCAGCCAGTATCGGAATCCTCGGATTCGACATATCGAGTGGCGTGCAGTTTCGTGGTCACTTGGAAGAGAAGGCCAAAATGACCTCTAAAAAGCTTGGCGTGATCAGCAGAGCGGGACAGTATTTCATGCCGGCACACCGCCTGCAACTTTACAAGGCGCAGATTCGGCCTCACATGGAATACTGTTCCCATCTCTGGGCAGGGGCTCGCCAGCTACTTCCACTTGACCGCATCCAGCGCAGAGCGGCTCGAATCGTCGACGACCGAGTCCTTTCCGATTGGCTCGATTCATTGGCGCTGCGAAGAGATGTTGCATCTCTTTGAATTTTTTTTTCACATTTACCACGGGGAGTGCTCTGAGGAATTGTTCGGATTAATCCCAGCCGCCAAATTTCACGAACGCACATCGCGGCAGAACTCCCGATACCATCCAACCCTCTGGATGATTGGCGGTCTACCACTGTGCGATTTAGAAGATGTTTTCTTCCTCGCACAACTTCCTTGTCGAATAGTTTACCACAAGCGATTTTTCCGGACCGAAACGACTTAGGGACCTTCAAGAAAAGAGCCTACTTCTTTTTAAAAGGCCGGCAACGCATCTGCAATTCCCCTGGTTCCCCTGGTGTTGCAGTTGTTGATGGGCGGCAGTAGTCACTTACCATCAGGTGAGTCGCATGCTAGTTTGCCCACTCTCCTATAAAAAAAGTTATGTAGAATGAGATTTCAACATAAATTTATATAATGAGTTCTTATATTGACGCGAATACTGCACATGGAATAAAACTTATTTTACGGATTTAATTGCGTTTTAATTTTTTTTAATTCCCGACGTGACCATGGGTGCTTTACATAAATTTATAAAATAAAAAGTGATACAATTTCAAACATTATTCTCAAAACATTTTACCATGTGAAAATATTATTACTAATGAACGATTGTACGTCAACACCTCATCGTTCATATTTAAAGGCTAAAAATTTGTTTTAAATTATGGATGGCTGTGACCGGACGGAGACTGAGGCATCGAGAATGTAAATTGAATTTTGTCAATTATACATGGACCGAGTGATGGTTGTGATGTGATAGCTTAATTTAAAAAATAATTAAAAAATATCGATAAAATAATTAAGAGAGAAAATAAAGCAAATTAAAATTTGAATGGAATTAATGTATTATTTCGACAGTAAACAAAATTAAGAAAAAATAGTATAAAAATATGAGAGATAAACATAACAACGCCCACAGGCACTGCTTCAATGAGTGTAGTCTGACTTCAAATGTCGTCATAATATTTTATTTCTAAGACATGCAGGATTCCTCGTAATGTTTTCCTTCACTCGAGAAATGTATAAGTACAATAAAAAGGCGGCAAACCCACAAAATACAACATACTTGTAATCAGAGGAAAATACAAAGGTGCTAGAGAAGAAAGAGATTTCATTCTTTGTACTCGTATCTAGAGGTGTTAAAAGTCGTCTGTATGTGGACTCTCTGAGCTTATTTATCACGCTAGAAGTAGACATCTCCCGCTGTAGGCAGAAATTATCCTAAATCGTGACACACGGTATGTGGCTTAACAATCGCAGAGCCAGAAGTTTCACACATGCTTAAGACGTTGATTCCCGTCGCCAGTCGAGTTATTCTGTGTTATTTCTTCTTTTTTGCGTATGTTACGCGATACCTTTAAATTAAAAACTGATTTAATAACGTTTTTTTTAATTAGGTTATAGATTAGAGGTAGCTGGTACATATAAATTAGCAGAAAAAATGCCAAAGTGGCAAAATAGAGGATTAAGGATGAAGTTTTTATAGTTAATTTTTTGACTAATCATTTCTAGTTGTTACTTTCATATTCTTTAGTCCACACAATAGGGGACAAAAATTTACTTTTCATAAAAAGTAAAACCCTAGTTCAATAAATTTAAAATTTCACTTACATTCACATGTAAGCTTTTAAATTCTGGCTTTTTAATTTATCTTTACAATTCTCATCTTCACACTTCTGTCTTAACAGAAAAATATAGAAATTATTTCGTTATTTTAGTTCTTTGAATTCGGCTTTCACTTTTGTTTAAAAGTTTGATTTTTCCAGTAAAAGCTCCAGCATTTCCTCAAAGTTGTGAGGATCGATGATCATTATAAGTTATTTGAAACGACAAAATTAATAGGTAATTTTGTAGGATTTGAAAATTTGTAATAACTTTTATATTCAATTCTATGTTGTAAATCCAGTGTTTGGTTACTGCGGTAGTCGTGATGTAACCAAATTATAAAGCCCACTGGCTGAACTTAACAAACGCCTATTTGCTCTTGCCTGAACTTGACACATTCTACTTTAATGGAATGCTGGAAAATTATTCCACATATTTGGTGTACACATTACGAACGACTTTTAGATCGACTACGTGGTATGTCGACAACATTGACTACATGGTGGATGGGAGAAAGAAGTCAGATTCTTTTGTGCTATGGTAGCTTTAGGACTAAGTACTCGCTGTAGATTTTACAGTATGCGAACACGGTTGTGTTCAATTTCCACCGGCACCAATAAAATTGTTGACTATAATTTTAAGTGTTGATTTACCACATTATTACGGTGATATATTATATCATCGTGATGATACCTGTATGTCTGAGCAATAAAAAAATATCATAGATGTGAAGACCGCTAACACACATTACGGCAGCGCGGTGGATGCATCTTTACTCTAAAAGACCATTCAAAACTTAGAAGAGGCCGTTTATATGCTATAACTAAGTATTAGTGTAATCAACTCCGTTCTGCAATAAGAGGAATATAATTTCTATAGAGAGGAATGTATCAAACCAGAAAAAAAGACGTATAAAGCTACGTATATATGCAAAAAATACCTTATTAGCAACGTTTATTACACTGTTTCAGCATTTGTATGGTATCAACTAAATATTACGTCAATGTATTGAATAAGTTATTATAATTCGTGCTGCAGCTACAATAGAGCTGGCAGCGTGGCTCATTCACGTAAAAAGTTGTCACTATAGTCGTAATCAGCCCGGAAATAATTTACTTTAAATAAAAAGTAGTTTTAGTTATTTATTTACCATTTCGCCTGGATTAAAAAGATTCACAATCTCTCTCTTAGAGATAGAATTTTTCTCCGGACTTTACATGCGTTTTATATACGCAGACTACACATGGAAAAACATTAGACTCCGGAATATAATATATATTTATGACCTATAAAAACTAACGCCGTGCGCG